CAATATTCATTCACACACTCTCCGTGTTTATGTGGATCAAGAATTAGGGAGCTGCCCAACTGGGTGGTTCTGACTCAAGGGCTGTCATGAGATTTGGTCAAACTGTGGCTGGGGTTGGAGTCAGCTCAAAGTCTTGCTCATCCCCACTTCTTGTGCCTGGGCTGGGAAGTCTGGAATAACTGGGTTTTCACAGAATTTCTGTTCATATTTGGATTTCCCATGTGGTCTCTCAACATGCAGACTTTAGCATATCAGACTTGTGTGGCAATTCAGGCCTCTAGAGACAAATGTTCAGGAAAGAGAAGCAGCAGAGGTGGTACTGCCTTTCGTGACCTATCCTTGCAAGTCATTTCTTCCACAACCTATCAGTCCAAGGTGGCTGCAGAGCTCTGGCCAGGTTTAAGAAGAAGAAACCTGGATGCCCCTTCTTGATGGAATATCTCATTAATAGAAGAGTTTGTGGGATGAGATATAAATCAACATAGGCTTATTTAGAAAATAAAAGCTTTTGCAGTATATTTTAGATACATTTATGTTGTTTTAATTTTTATGATGAATATGTGTTATGGAAAGAGCAAAAACAATGCAAAATCACCTTAACTTGAAGATCTATAAAACTAAAAAGGAGGGGTTCTCTCTCCCTCTCCCAACATGGCGGCCTCAGCAAACAAGAAGAATAAGAAGGGGAAGACCATCTCCCTAACAGACTTTCTCGCTGAGCATGGAGGGACTGGTGGAGGAACCACCTATGTCTCCAAATCAGTCAGCTGGGCTGATTAAACGGATGACCTGGCAGGAGATGTTTCAACCACCTGGCACAGTAATGATGATGATGTGTATAGGGCACTCCAATTGACCGTTCAATCCTTCCCACTGCTCCATGGGCTGCTCAGGAACCCAATATTGATCAGAGGCCATCTTCCCAAATCACCACCCTACACTGCTTTTCTAGGGAACCTGCCCTATGAAGTGACAGAAGAGTCTATTAAGGAATTCTTTAGAGGATTAAATATCAGTGCAGTGCGTTTGCCACGTGAACCCAGCAATCCCGACAGGTTGAAAGGTTTTGGTTATGCAGAGTTTGAGGACCTAGAATCCCTGCTCAGTGCCCTGAGTCTCAATGAAGAGTCTCTAGGTAACAGAAGAATTCGAGTGGATGTTGCTGATCAAGCTCAGGATAAAGACAGGGATGATTGTTCTTTTGGGCGAGATAGAAATCAAGATTCTGACAAAACAGACACAGACTGGAGGGCCCGTCCTGCCACAGACAGCTTTGGTGACTACCCGCCGAGAAGAGGTGATGATAGCTTTGGAGACAAGTATCGAGATCGCTATGATTCAGACCGGTACCGTGATGGCTATCGGGATCGGGATGGGTATCGTGATGGCCCACGCCGGGATATGGATCGATACAGAGGCCAAGATCGCTGTGATGACCGAGGCAGCAGAGACTATGATAGAGGGTATGATTCCAGAATAGGCAGTGGCAGAAGAGCCTTTGGTAGTGGTTACCGTAGAGATGATTACAGAGGAGGAGGAGACCGATACGAAGATCACTATGACAGACGAGATGATCGACCCTGGGGCTCTAGAGATGATTATGCCCGGGATGATTACAGGCATGATGACAGAGGTCCCCCCCCAAAGACCTAAACTGAACCTAAAGCCTCGGAGTGCTCCTAAAGAAGATGATTCCTCTGCTAGCACCTCCCAGTCCAGTCGAGCAGCTTCTATCTTTGGAGGGGCAAAGCCTGTTGACACGGCTGCTAGAGAAAGAGAAGTGGAAGAACGGCTACAGAAGGAGCAGGAGAAATTGCAGCGTCAGCTAGATGAGCCGAAGCTAGAACGACGGCCTCGGGAGAGGCATCCAAGCTGGCGAAGTGAAGAAACTCAGGAACGGGAAAGGTCAAGGACAGGAAGTGAATCATCACAGACTGGGACCGCGGCCCCATCTGGCAGAA